ATGGCATTTAGAAATTCTGTTGCAGAATTTCTGGCAGTCTAATCAATTAATGATTATTTATTAGCCAAATTTTGAGTTGAGCATTGTGCATTGTGGGATACTGTACCTACATTGTGTATAAAACAAGTCTACACCACCCTGTTAAAAATGCAGCTTTTTGAGATGTAAAAAATTAATTAAAGTAAAATCATGTCAGATATTTTTACACTTTAACATAAGAGTGAAACAAAAAAAAAAGTCTTAAAATAGCATGGTTGCACAAGTGTACACACTCCTGAAATAATGCTTGGTTGGAACTCATTTTGCTTTTAATACAGCAGCCAGTCTTTTTAAATGAGAATCTATCAACTTAGTACATCTTGATTTGATTGGTAACAAAGTAGGCTACCTTGTCTTATTATAAGAGTATAATTTTAGGTTTTTGTTTTTCCTTTTTCCTTAAAAGTTTAAAAAGATCTAACATGATTTTAGATTTGTTTTCCATTTCAAAAGGCTGAAATTTTAACAGGCGTGTGCAGACCTTTTATACCCATTGTAAATCAGTATACTCCGTTTTATGCTTCAAATTTAGTAAACATTTAGCCTAACTATAAGATACCCAGATGACTTACTACATCTCCCACAATGCTGTGTGCTCAGCTGGCAATTTTTTCTCAACTTGATCAGACTGCCAAAAGTTTTTTTTTTACTTTAAACCGCATAAACACATTTCATTACACCAAATACACAAAATAATGTTCTTTTTAGCAGCAGCATATGACCCCTTTAAGATATTTTTGCACCATAATAACCATACTTCATGAGATGGCATAGGCTACATGTAATGAGGTGGCAGTCCTAGTTTTGCAATCCTAGCTATCCACTAGATAGAATTCTCTTCCAAACAGCTATGCTCTGAATTCAGAACAAAGTAGCATACAGTAGCCTACTACCACCTTTTAAATCTGTTTGTTCTCATATGTCTCCAGTCTTTTCTGTGTAATATTGATAAATCTGTAGCTATACTTTTCCTCTCTTTTTCTCCAGAACCGTATGGAAGAGAGTTTGTCACTGTTCTACACGACCATCCACTCACCGTGGTTTGCTAATTCATTCATCCTCCTCCTTTTAAACAAAATGGACATCCTCTCCGAGAAGGTTCAGTTTTCAGACCTAAAAACATACTTTCCCAGATTTGAAGGTAATTTGGTGCAAATTAAGTTAAGTAAAAGGCAGCATTATATGTGAGATCTCTTATTTCGTTATTCCCGATTCACACTTTCTTTTCCTTTCCTCTGCGGTTTGGCCCCACCTTCAGGCAAACGTCAGGACGTACAAGATGCCATGCAGTTCATTGCACAGTTATATAAACAGAAAGGTACTAGCAAGGAGACAGAGGACAAAAGAGTGATTTACCCTCACTTCATCTGTGCCACAGACACCATAGACATCCGTGCACTCTTCCACACTGTGAAACATGCTTTCATGTCACAGTTATTACGGAAGTATGAAGTGTTATAATGAGCCCAAACTGCACCTTCGGTGGCTCAAACTGTATTGATTTCCATTCAAAGACACTACTGTTTTATAAAGAAATGTTTCCATGCTCAACAGCTGAATAAATGTTTTATTATTCAGGTGTTATGTACAAACTCAACATACTGTAAAATAATAAAGTGACACTGCAATTCTGAATTTCACTAACAGCAGTAGGGAAGGTACCGTAGGCATCAATAATCGGGGCCCCTGGCACTGTACACTCTTAAAAATAAAGATTCTTTTACTTTAAAGATTATTACTTTAAAGAGTGTAGAATAATACTACAAAAAGCAAAGCATGACTGGCAGGGTGGGGAGCCAATCAGAGAAAGACGTGCATGATGGGTAGGTATGGAGGAACTGGAGAGACTTCAAATGAGAATCAGTTGACAGAATTAAGTCAGCCCCTGCTTTAACGTTTCAGTTCATGGCAGGTATATAACTGTTCAAATTATTTTTTATAACAGGTAGTAACTACACTGAACAAAATTATAAACGCAACACTTTTGTTTTTGCCCCCCATTTTTCATGAGCTGAACTCAAAGATCTAAGACTTTTTCTATGTACACAAAAGGCCTATTTCTCTCAAATATTGTTCACAAATCTGTCTAAATCTGTGTTTGTGAGCACTTCTCCTCTGCTGAGATAATTCATCCACCTCACAGGTGTGGCATATCAAGATGCTGATTAGACAGCATGATTATTGCACAGGCGTGCCTTAAGGCGGGCGTACACGGTGCGATTCTGAAGGTCGGAACATCGTGAGCTCTGGCACATGTCACGATTGAGTTTATCCGAAAATTGTACGGAGGCAGTCACACACGACACGAATTTACTACGATTTTACAAACTCTCACGTAAGCATTACGTTTCGCGCCATTCATAAAAATATGGATTCTGAGGACGAAATAATTTTCTTTGTAGCAGGTGGCTTGTGACGTCCAAAAAAAAAAAAATCTAAGACAAAAGACATGGCAAAGAGAATGGCTGAAAAGCA